TTTATTGCTGCCCAAGCTTGTCTCTGCTGGTTTGCTGCCAAGGACCTGTCTGTCTGTTAATTAAATGCCATAACTTATCTTTGACTCGGAGTGTGGAACGAGGGGTGTCAGAACAGGTTTCAATTCTGGAATTATAAATTGTACGCTCGGTTTGAGTGAAAGTGAACAGCTTCATTTATCTCGTTTAGGCCTGTGGAAACAAAGGTGTGAGCTGTAGCAAAATGTGCTATATATATTTTGTGCAAACTATAGTTCCATGAGAGATTGGTGGTTTTCTGTGACACAATAAACGTAATAATAGTAATGCAGGTAGTTCTTGACTTACAACGGTTCATTTAGTGACTGTTCAAAGTTACAGCGGCAGTGAAAAAAAGTGACGTATGACCGTTTTTCACAATCACAATCTGACAGGCAAAGTCAATGGGGAAGGCAGATTCACTTAACAACCGGGTTAAATAACAACTGAGGCAAGAAATGTTGTAAAATGGGGTAAAACTCACTTAAGAAATGTCTCACTTAGCAACAAAAGTTTGGGGCTCAACTTTTGCTGTAAATCGAGTACTAACTACCAGAAAAAAATAATTTATTTACTTTACTCAGTCTAATAATTTTCCTTTACTAGAGTTTTATCTATTGATCAGAGATTCTGCTGCCTGAGAAAACTTTGAAAATCCCCACCTAGCATGTGCCTAGAATTCTCTCTTCTTCAGTGTGTGCATTTAGTGGAATGGATTCTCTCAAGTTAAGACTGAAGACTTCTGGAATTAAGAAAGTGGAGAGCTTCAGTTCTCTCTCATCTTATAATTGGAACTACTTATAGGCTGGCTATGTGTTAATTCTTGATTCAAGATGAATATCACCAACCATTAGAGAGGCAATTCATTTCACTCAACCTTATACTTAGGGGTGGGATTGAAAATTTTTAGCAACCGGTTTTCTGCCCAGTTGCGGGGTGGGTGTGGCTATGAGGGGCATGGCCTAATCGGTCTCCTGCACCACACCTGGAGGGGGGCATTTTCACCCTCCCCAAGCTCCGAAGGCTTTTTCCGAGACTCTGGGCGGGCGAAAACAGCCTCCCCCAGGCTCCGGAGGCCCTCCAGAGGCTGGAAACGGGCCAGTTTCTGGACCTCTGGGAGGCCCGTTTTTTCGCACTCCCAGAACCTCGATGTGGACCCTGCACTTAACCTGCATGATGAATGGGCCATGTAGAGACTCCTAGGAGGGGAGAAGCGGGGTGGGAAGGGCCAGCCAGTCCTTCCACCTACCACTTCGGCGAACCAGATGTAAAATTAGCATCCGGTACGCCTGAACCAGTCCGAACCGGCTGAATCCCACCCCTGTTTTTATTCTGTCTAATTGTAATACATGCCAGTTGTTATATGAAACATGTCTTATTCCAAGACTCACATTCATATTTAGTGGGATAGATGAAAATGGGGACTGAGAAGGAACTTGGCCATATCTACCGTTCCAGGAGAAATATATATATATATATNAGCAAGGGGGCTTGTTGCTGCTGCTGCCGCCGAGAGAGGAAGAAGTGCTGGGCTGCGCGCTCCTTCCCCGGCGAGAGGTGGCCCCGGGGGAATGTGACATCACCGCGCGGGTCTGGGGCAGCCGAGCGGGGAGGCTTCCCGGCAGCGTCCCGGCCTCTCTGGCTAACGCGCTGCCGCCGCCGCCCGCGCCCGCCCCGGCTCCCCACCTCGGCCCCGTGATCAGCATGTCCGCGAAGGAGAGGCCCAAAAGCAAAGCCGCCGCCGCCACCACCACCAAGGAAAGCGTCACCCTGTTGCCTTGCTTTTATTTCGTGGAGGTAAGGCTGCTGGCGGGGCTCGAGGGGAGGGGAGGGGAGGTGGGAGACTGCCGGGGGGCCTCCGATCGCCCTGGGGATGCCGAAACCCCCGGCCCCAAAAGAGCAACCGTCCGTGGGAGACCACTAGCGGGGCTGCGCCTCGGAGGCGCACGAAGCGCGCCTTAGCGCAACCGCGGCGAGGATCGAACTGGTGGTGATGGGGGAGATGTTAAGATGGGTAGACGCAGGTTGGAAACGGCGAGGGGCTGGGGGGGGGGGTGTCTTGTCCGACGTGCCCAGCGGGCATCGTCTGAGCGATTGTCTCCAGCACCTGGTCTTGGATTCAGAGGGAATGGGAGGGGGAGACCCATCTTCCCGAAATCTCCCCGCGGAGATTTGGAAGCTTGGCCCGTCCTCGTCCACCTGCCTTGGAAACTCCACCTCCTTCATTGAGGGGGGGGGGAGGTTGCAAACGGAGAGGGGGGGGCAGCGCGATGAGATCAGGATCACGTGCGCGCGGTATCATCCCCCAATGTGGCTGTCAGACGAAAAAATAGGGGGGGGGGAGGTTGTGTTGTGCTTATGCCAAGCATATATGAAGAACAAGGGAAATAAAAAAGGATGGGACGTCAAATGAATTGGAGGTGGCATAATTGAAAGTAAATGATGCAGATACATAAACAACCAGGGTTGGGGGCCCTTTTTGACTTAGGCCTAGGATATTTGGGGATGCTCCTGATATTTGGGATGTGCTGAGAGGCTGGTTGCGCTTTCTGTAGTTGGTCAAAGCTACATGCATAGCTTCATCATAGCAAGCCAAACAAGTAAGGTGTAATTTTGTAATTTATTTTGCCAAAGGTCTACTGGGGTTCCATGTGTGCATGTTTGTGTGAGTGATACCTTATTTCTGCTGCACAAGGATTCTCTTCGGCTCTTCCGGTGATGTAATGTACAGGCCCTTGCAATAGCAATAGCAATAGCAATAGCAGTTAGACTTATATACCGCTTCATAGGGCTTTCAGCCCTCTCTAAGCGGTTTACAGAGTCAGCATATCGCCCCCAACAACAATCCGGGTNGACTATATATAAAGTAATTTTCCCACGGCACACCTTACACTATGTCACGGCACACTAGTGTGCCGTGGCACAGTGGTTGAAAAACACTGCTCTAAGCAGTTTACAGAGTCAGCCTATTGCCCTCAACAACCTAGGTCCTCATTTTACTGAACTTGTAAGGATGGAAGGCTGAGTCAACCTCGAGCCCGTCAGGATCGAACTGCTGGCTGTGGGCAGAGTTAGCCTGCAATACTGCACTGTAACTGCCACCCCCATAAATTTTCTTGGACCTCAAGGCTGCGTAACTCTGAATGCGATCCAATGGAAAATCCCCCCCACCCTCTGCGTTGCAAGGAATGGAAGCCCATCCAAACATTGACGGGGTTCAGGAGGATGATGTCCTGCTGGCTGGATCTGCCTCCATATCCCTTTCTGACGCTCTTTGGAATACCCACCCGCCCCTCTTCAGCTCCCAGAGGTCACATCCTGAACCTGCTTCCGGCTTGTGCCACTTGGCAAACTCTCTTTGCATTGCTTGGCAACCGAGCCCCTTCTGCAGCCCCATGGCAACTTTCTAGCTTAGAATAGAAGCTCATTCACGAATGTTCTTGCCTCCCTCTGCAATATTTCTAACAATGTCAGAAGGTAATATCGTAACCAGAGCAACAGAGACTGCCCTTGAACATTTCCATTAGGGAAGAAGGGAAAATGCAGACGAGATCGGGGAGTCGGGTGGGTTTCAGCTTAGCTAAGGAGCACCCCTAGGAGAGGAAAACTCAGAGGGACAGAACGTCCCGTTTCATCATCCCATCTTGAGCTCCAGGCTGAAGATGCTGACGGAGGTCTGGTTTTCTTTTGTAATTTCCAACTTTCTCTCTTCCTTTCCCCCTCCCGGCCCTGTGTATCGAACTAAGGGATCAAGACCAGAATGTTCTGTATCTGTGGGAGAGACCCTCCCCCGGCTTTGTCCTGACTCATGGTTTGCTTAACGGTGTTTGGAGTATGATTCAGTTGCTGAGTTTGTTTTGACTGAGGCTTCCCAAGAGCATGAAGCAAACTCCGTGTCCGGGCAAAAAACCCTTTTATTAATTGATTGTGAATTCTGCTCATTCACATCCAGCAAAGTCTTTCAAGGGAGGCTTTATAGTCACAGATACAGTATCTGGCTTGGAGAGCTGC